AAGTGATATGAAGACGCCTGATTTTCTTCTTTGCAAATATAGCAATACATTGCCACAAATCACTTATAATTTTCATAGAACCAAACAGAACCAAACACAGTTCGCAAATAATTAACGTGCTTTCTAGTCTAGCATCCACGGTGGATAATCCACCGCGCACGCGTATGGAGTATGCGCATTACAATCTACGATTTTAATCTCTCCATCCTTGTCAATCTTCTCGGCTTCAACCGAATGTACACCCACGGTAATTAATTCTGTCCCTCGGAAATTTTCACAAAATGAAAAGTGACCTCCTTTCTATATTAATTGTCACTATTCATGCACGATAAGGTTCAGTCGTAACGTTAATCGTGCATGGATTGTGACAATTAATATAGAAAGGTGGTCATTTTTTATTTTGTGAAATTTTCCGAGGGACAGAATTAATTACCGTGGGTGTACAGAGACCATATGCCTATGCTCCTTCCAGTACTATATGTTCTAAGCGTGGCACCAAAAAAGTTCGCACTCAGTGCGCACTGGTGCGCACTAGTGCAGTCTGTCGAATTCGCCATAAGACAACGACCCGTATTCAGAACGCACTTTTATCGATAAAAGCGCGCTTTTATCTCTGAAATTCTATAGTATACGTGACGTAAACTATAGCATGTTAGCGCGTTCTGAATACGGGCCAACGTATATCAATTTTAACAAACGATTACAATTTAATTTACCTATATTCCGATCACGAAGTAAGAGAGAAGGAGATCGAACTCTGTGAAACGTAAATGGTCCTAGTCCGTGACCCCTAATTGGGAGGGAGTCCGCTGAAAGGAATGAATTCTTATGGTTGGGCGCCATTTGCAACTAACCTTACCCGAACAGTCCGGCCTGATCCGTTGCTTGCATTAAACGGAGAGGTCACGAAGTAAGAGATCGTGGGAGAGGTTAAGAGTTCCAAAAAATTAAAAAAGGTGAAATATTAAATATTTAATATTAAAATGAATATTACATTATTATATTATATTATTGAATATTTAATCGTTTAATTTATAATATTTATATGCTTTAATTCTGCTAATTTCGTGCACAGTAGCTTTTAGTACGTATTAATCTAGCGTAGTGCAAGTGATCGAATTCACTATTAATTCTTATAAATCTTTACCTTTTTTAATTTTTTGGAACTTTTAGTCTTAACCTCTCCGTATAATACAAGCACGCTCTTACTTCGTGAATGCAAGCCAGGCCGGACTGTTCGGGTAAGGTTAATTGCAAATGGCGCTCAACCATAAGAATCCATTCCTTTCAGCGGACTCCCTCCCAATTAGGGGTCACGAATCAGGACCACTTTTTCAGCTTGCGTTCTATTAAGTTCGGTCTCCTTCTCTCTTACTTCGTGATTCCGACACACGTGGTAGTCATATTATATTATATTATGATCATATCATTATCATATAATATATTATTATGAATCGTTAGTACTCTTTGAATTACAGTTAAAAAAATTAATAATTATAATTTATTATATTTTACAGAAAATTGTTGAAGGTTTATTTATATTAGATTAGTTCAAAATATTATTTGTATCGTTTTTTGTCAATTTGTACGAGATATTGCAATAACAATCTTTTTATATTTTATCAAATATATTGTAATGTATCTTGTACTAAATGATTAGGTACAAATCAAAAGATGATGATACAACTAAATGATGCACGCTTTATTACTCGAAGGAACGAGGATACACAAGACGCTGCCAAGCTGGCGTCCATTACACACAAGCAACGAACAAGGAATGCGCACGCATAAGCCAATGAACATAAAGGAAAAACGATAGCAGCGCTCACATACAAAAATAACATGAACATATATTACACTCCTCCTCACTTAATTTAAGGAAATAAACATTTCCGCTTACAAGTCTAAAACCTTCCTAGGTTTCGGTACACGACTGGAACGTCGTAGTCCTTCCACTGGAGTATCCAAATCACTAGATTTAACTAGAGTCCTAGATATCAGAGAAGCGCAACCGATGTTCCGCGTCCTGATTAGCTGACTATTAGCCAATCATGACATTCATTCAGTGGTATTAAAAATGGCTGACTAATAGACGATTGGTGGATTTCATATTTCGTCTGCAAACGACGCCATTTTTAATACTTTTCTTAGTAATTTTGCGATACTGACTTAAGCCGGTTGCGCTTCTCTGATATCTAGGACTCTAGATTTAACTAACACCTTTTTGCCTGGTATATGAACACTCTTTCTATGTTCCTCAGAAACCTTGGAGTCGATATTACAATCGTTTGTCTGAGCACCGCTCTTAACATAACTATCACCTACGTTAGAACTAATCGATTTCCTTCGATTCGAAACAACAGAATCGCTAGGTCGCACTGAGTCTTCGCACGCTTGTGACTCAGGTAATTGCAAATTACACGCTCGCAATTGATCGGTATGACGTCTCCATATCCGACCGTCATCTGTTTTAACATTATAGGAAACCGGACTTGTTTCTTTCCACGATTTCCGCTTGTCTCCACGACCTTGTTCTGAAATCCTTAGCCATTACGGAGTCATTCTCTCCGAACGTAACAGTACGATTGCCCTTGAAGAAACGTTGCTGATCCCTCTGTTTTGACTCTATTCTATTTCTAATATCAGGCTTAATAATATCTAATCTAGTACGCAAACGCCTATTTAACTGTAACTCTGCTGGTGACTTTTCCGTAGTACAATGAGGTGTCACTCGATAGTGAAATAAATATTTACATAACGCATCCTGTCTCGTATAATCTTTAAGTAACAATTTAAACTTCCTTTTAAATGTACGTACAGCGTTCTCGGCCGCTCCGTTAGACGCAGGATGATATGGTACCGTTTTCGTATGCTTAATAGCATTTCGCGATACGAATTCTTTAAACTGTTCGCTCGCAAACGCTGGACCATTATCAGAAACAATCTGATACGGTACTCCCCATGTACTGGTATATTCTTTCACTGCTCTAATCGTGGATTCCGCTGAGATATCTTTCATCTCCTTAATATCAATCCATTTAGAATAAGCGTCTGTTATTACTAAATACATATGGCCCCCAATTGGTCCACAAAAATCTAAATGTATACGATGGTTTGGCCCTTGAGGCCACTTCCAAACATGCAATGTACTTTTAGGAGGATCATCGGCGCTCTCCAAGCAATCTTTACAACTTTTCGTGATCTCCTCTATATCATTATCTAGACCTGGCCACCAAAAATATGATTGAGCTAATGCCTTCATTTTAACTATTCCTAAATGAATTCCATGCAATTCCTCAAGCAATTCAGCTCTTAAGGACGGGGGAATACCAACGCGATAACCCCACATAATACAACCATCCTCCACTGATAATTCTAACCGACGACTTTTAAAAGGTTCAAAACATTTTTCAACTTTATCAGGCCATCCCTGCATAACAAAATCTCTCACTTTACTCAAGATAGCATCTTTACTAGTTCCCTTACGAACCACTTTACTATCCACATTTTGCAATTCTTCACTTATTGCTTTTAAATAATTATGAACCTGTACATCTTTTGACTCAGTCGTTTGATAAGTATCCTTCATACTAACCCTCGATAAACCATCAGCAGGTCTATTATCTTGACCTTTAATGTACTTAATTGTAAAATCATAACCTGCTAAAATCACTGCCTATCTTTGAACTCGACTAGCCGCCATCTGTGGAATTCCTTTCTTCGGGCCAAAAATATACGTAAGAGGTTTATGATCTGTCTCTAAAATAAAATTACGACCGTAGACATACTGATGAAATGCTTTCACTTCGAAGACAAGAGCTAATGCTTCTCTGTCCAATTGCGAATAATTTCTTTGAGCTACTGACAAAACCTTTGATGCATAAGCTATCGGCCTATCCGATCCATCTGGAAGAATATGCGACACCACCGCCCCCAAACCAACAGGAGACGCATCGCACGTAATTTTCAAAGGATAATCTGAACTATAATGTATCAATATTTCCCTAGATGCTAAACGCTCTTTTGCCTTTTTAAAAGCTAACTCTTGTTCCTTTGCCCAACACCATTTCTTATCTTTCCTAAGAAGTTTATACAATGGGCTCAACAAATCAGAATAATCCTTAATGAACTTCGAGTAGTAATTAATCATACCCAGAAATGACTTAAGTTCTGACAAATTATCCGGTTTTTTCATATTCACTATTGCGTCAACCTTTTTACTCGACGCCTGTATGCCCTGTGCATTTAACTCGAATCCTAAAAATTCTATATTACTTTGTGCAAACGCACACTTGTCTTTACTTAGCGTTAAACCACAATTTTGTAACCTTTTCAAGACACACGTTAAATTTCTATCGTGCTCTTCACGAGTAGCTCCTGTAACTACTAAATCGTCAAAGAAAATAGCTACCATATCCAAATCCTGAAAAATCTTATCCATTTCACGCTGGAATAACCCTGATGCTGACGCTACGCCATAACTTAAACGATTACTTTTGAATAACCCCTTATGAGTTGCTATTGTGACAAGAAACTTTGATTCCTCATCCAACACTACTTGTTGATAAGCCTGAGCTAAATCTAACTTGGTAAATACCGTACCTCCACTTAGCTTTGTAAGCAAATCTGATACCCTCGGAATAGGATGTTTATCCACTAATAAGTGAGGATTTAACGTAACCTTATAATCTCCGCATAAGCGTATCTGACCGTTAACTTTTGATACTGGTACTATCGGTGTTGCCCAATCACTATATTCCACCGCTTCTAAAATACCCTCTTTAACTAAACGATCAATTTCATCTTCAACTTTCGCCCTTAACGCGAAAGGTACTGGTCTTGGTTTACAAAATACCGGACTGACCCCTCCTTTGAGATGCAATTTAAATTTCTTTTTCGTATAACGACCAATTTGATTAGAAAAAAGTGACTCAAACCTTTTGCAAATATCATTTTGTTTTTCATTCACTGTCCTAACTGACAACCTTTCAGATGCCAAATCAAATTGAATAATATCTAAGGCCTTAAGCCAATTACGACCAACAATAGGTGCGCTTTTACCTGATAAGACAAACAATTCAAGAACTTTGCTTCTATTTTGAAAAGTTACCTTAACCTTCAATATACCCAGAGGAACTATTGGATTACCCGTATACGCCTTAAAAGTGCGCGAACTTTTCAACACTTCCGCATTCTCAAACGGTTTAAGCCTATCGAAATCTTTCTTCGAAATTGCCGAAATTGGTGATCCTGTATCTATTTCAAACGACAATGGGCGCATTCAGCAGACTCAACAGTTGAGTGAGCGCTCGCTATTATTGGTGTATTCTTCCAGATCTAAAATTCTGATTGGATGATCCAAAAGAATACACCAATAAGAGCGAGCGCTCACTCAACTGTTGAGTCCGCTGAACGCGCCCAATGACTTATTTCCAACCTCCAGGTTAACTTTCAATGGTTCGATACAACCAATCACATTATTCACGTTAATACCCTTATTACAATATAAATTATTTAGACTATCATTACAGTCTTCCGATTCTTTAACCTTATTCGGATTCACACTTTTAATCTTAACATTACCATTCGCGCGACTTTGTTTTTGTGATTTACCCTTCACGCCTTTGTTTGAAGCCTTAACCTTACAAACTGACTCTAAATGTCCTTTTTTTCCGCACGAATTACATGAATAACCTTTAAAACGACACTCTTTTGCCATGTGACCCTTTTTCCCACAACAAAAACATATTACCGCCTGCAAAACCTTTTTCTGCTTATTGATAACTTTGAGTGCGTTGTCCGTGCTGTTCACTGGATTAGCCATGTCTGCTGCCTCTCGTTCAGCCATCTCCATACTAGTGCTGATTTCCACCGCTCTGGTATACGTCAACTGTTGTTCAGCCAGAAGTCTCTTCTTGATCCTCTCACTGGCCAGACCCCATACGAACAGGTCCCGGATGCAATTTTCCAGCTGCTCTCCAAAGTGACAATGCGTGGAAAGCTTTTTAAGCTTTGCGAGATACGTCTTAATGTCCTCGCCTGTTAGCTGCTTACATTCCTTAAATTTGTAGCGCTGTGATATCGTACTTGGTTGCGGCTGCAGATGATTCCGCATAATTTCCGCGAGACGTTCAATTGTGAGATTCGCCGGCCTCTCCGGTGTGCACAGATTACAAATAAGTTCATAACCTTCGCTTCCCAATAACGTAAAGTCAAGCACCGTCCCGCAGTGGCTTTCCCCCCGCAACGTTATGCTCTGTCCCTATATTTCTATGTCCATGGTGCACACTGCACACAGACAGTGCACCGACATTGGTACTTGTTTATTACACTTAACAGAGACTTAATATGTGATACATTATGAAAGTGAGCACTATTTACACTTTTCGACACCATTTTGGCTCCAAATCCTCGTACATTGGTCTTATGGATTGCGGTACTTTATTAATCTAGTGACTTTACAATAACGTAAGGAGCAGCGGCACTTGTTTCTCACCCGGCACTTCGTTACCGGTAAAGTAGAGCACTAATCGCTCGAACCATCTCGTCCAATCTTCTTTCATAGAAAACTCAGAAATACTACCAACTGTACCTCTAACAATGGTGTGAATAACCTGTGGTTCTTCTCTTTTTGATGCTGCCATCAGTTCTGCTCTTGCTTGAGCTAATTGCTGACTTTCCATAGCCAACAAACTTTTCTGATGTTCCTGTTGCTTAGCCCTTTCCGCTAAGGCTTTCTCCCGTTCCTCGAGATCCTTTTGAAATTTCAATAAGTCCGTTGTCGACATTTTGTTTCTCAACGGTGTCCTTTAGATTGCGCGCTTTTATTAACCTCGTTTACCTTGCGTCCCTGTGATCGCACGTTTATCTCTTGTCAACGCTGCGTCCCTATGATCGCACGTTTTTAACCTTTGTATGCTTGCGTCCCTATATGACTGCGCGTTCTTTGTTCAACGCTTGGTTGCATACACTCTGGAATCTTCCCTTTCGATAATTCTCAGGCTCTTTGCCGAAACTGGTTTTTACCTCGTCGCCAATGTAATGTATCTTGTACTAAATGATTAGGTACAAATCAAAAGATGATGATACAACTAAATGATGCACGCTTTATTACTCGAAGGAACGAGGATACACAAGACGCTGCCAAGCTGGCGTCACACAAGCAACGAACAAGGAATGCGCACGCATAAGCCAATGAACATAAAGGAAAAACGATAGCAGCGCTCACATACAAAAATAACATGAACATATATTACATATATATATATATATTTAAATATTTTTTTATATATCTATATAAATTATTAATTTACACAGGATACATATAAGGATGGATATATTTGTTGTATGGATATTTAAAAATTGGCAAATCTTATACTTCTGCAAAAATATATTTTATTATACATATTTTATAAAAAATTAATAAAGTGAGGTTATATATTTAATTTCCAGAATTCTTTTACTATACTATACATATTTCCATTATTGATATACATTTTAGAATAAAATACACAATAATTATTACAATAATAGTTAACGTATGTATCTCTTTGTCTTTATGCACTCTGCTTTTATTAAGTTCATACGCAAATTCGCAAAATTGTTCCTCTCTCACGATCCGTTCAACTCAATCCGAT